ATTAATTTATTTTTAAATTTTAAACAGTTTTACTGAGGTATAATTGACATACAATCAGCTACACAAATTTAAAGTGTAGTTTGTTAAAGTTTGACACTCATCACCACAATCAAGAAAATGAATGTGTATATCATCCCACAATGTTTCCTTGTGCCTCCTAGAATCATATAGTATGTACTTCTTTTTTTGTCTGGCATCTTTCACTCAGCATAATCTTTTTGAGACTCATTCATAGTGTTTGTGTGTCAGTAGTTCATTCTTTCTTAAGTGAATAAGTTTATATTTAAAGTTAAATAATGTTGACCTTTTTAAGAAAATCCAGAATTTAAGATCCAAGAGGAAAGAGTATGTCATGCTCTTTCTAAAGAATGTGGTGGTGGGACAGTGTATCATTGATCATCTACTTGTGCTTGTTCAAAAAAATAATTGCAAAGAGTGTTTCTCAATTGTCACATGCTAACACAAACCTGATGTACACAGTAAGTCAGTCCATGGGAGGGGCAAGGAATTAGAAGTATTTTCCTCTTCACTCTCATATATAAGCGCGCGCGCGCACACACACACACACACACACACACACACACACACACAGCCTTCTTCAATTTAATAAGGTTTGGATACATCTATAAGATATGACCAGTTCCTAAAATTTCAGGACTGCCATATTATAATAGGTCAACCATTTCATTGGTACCTTAATTTCTCCAGTGTCTAAATTAGTTTGAGTGTTATCCACATGTTCTACATAAATGGTGAAAACTTTTTAAAGGACAGGGTTTAAAGTAATGAAAAATAACAACTACAGCTAATATTGAATATTCTACTAAGAACTGTTTTGCAATCAGAATTGAAAATAATGTGGATTTCAGGAGTCCCCAGTTAGTGAACAGCTTATGTTCTGCACATTTGGAACTAAAAACACTTTACTATAGAAATATCAGTAATTCTAGAAAAGAGAAAGAGGTAACATTCTGAGCGCGTCATAGCCTGTCCTAAATTAAAGGGAACAATGAGAGCGCTAGTAACAGGCAAGTAAAATGTGATTTACATTTGATAGAAACTCACAAATTTTGTTTTTGACTGCCTGTGTAGTAAGGAAGGCCAAAGAGTGAGTGAGCTGCCCTATCGGCGCCCTAAAACCACAATTCCCAGAATGCCGCAGCGCAGGCTCTCCAGCGGACGCGGTCTCGGGTTCTGACCAGTGCAGGGTTGGCTGCTGGAGTACACTGGTCCTGCTTTCATGGCTTCTCCTAGCAAGGCAGTAATTGTTCCCGGGAACGGAGGCGGAGATGTGGCCACCCATGGCTGGTATGGCTGGGTGAAGAAGCAGCTGGAGCAGGTAAGAGACACGCCTCGTGCGCCGGGAAGTCAGCTTGGAGCTGGAGGGGACGGAAGGGACAGAGGACTGAAGTTTAAACGTGTGTTTCTCCCTTCACCCCGCTCCCCTACTCCCTCACAACACCCTCCTCTCAGCCTTAGATGTTTTCATTCTTCTCCTCTAATGCGCCGTCTTAAACTCTAGAACTAGTGGTTGGAACTTTGGTTGATAAAACTGCCTGGAGGACTTCTCTGGGGACTTAGTCGTTAGAGTACAAGGCACCGCTTCTTGGAACTACGGAGATTGGATCGCTCCCCGTCCAGTATCTGCTGCTGGTTCAGATTTGGGGCTTCCTGGATGATTCTATTTTCTTTGCTCCCTGCTTAGTTTTTTTTTTTTTTTTTTTTCAATATGTAGTATTAATGTATTAACAAAATGTAATGAATACCTGAGAATCCATCACCAAAAATCTAGAACGTATTTTTGAAGCCACCTTTGTGTCCTCCATCCTATATCCCTGCCATCCTAAAATTTTTTCATTTGCTCCCCTTTTAAAAATTTAAGTACTTTTGCAACCTGTGTATGTATCCTTTAAACAATGTACTGTTTAATTTGGCTTCTTCGTGAGCTTTATAAAAATGGCATTCTACTGTAGGTTGTCTTGTGCATCTTGATTTTTTAAAAAACTCTCTTCCATAAACAGGCGATAAAGGTTGCTTTCTGGGTTGCCATCCTCTAGAGTAGGTTTCTGGGATAAAATTTAGGGTCGTGGTTGCAAATCACCGCCAGAGCTACAAACCTAAAGTTCAGGGCTGGAGCTAAGAGGATGGGATCGCTGACTTTTTGTACCATGCTTCTGTACCACATTGTACCTACTCCCTGGCACACACGCTGTTTGGCTCCAGGTCAATCTGTCTAGAACACGTTCACTCATGCCCTCTCTACAGATATGTGCCTATAGTTATAAATATATGTAGGTCTTTTTATATAGAGACCTACAGAGCTGGCTAGATATAGAACTACAGACAGATGGAGTTTGTGAAAGGGATTGTATGCTCATATATAATGCTGTAGAACTCAACCTACTTCATTTCATAATATAAGCAAATACTTATTGGATTGTAAGAAGCATATTAGGTGTCTCATTTCTTATTAGCAAAATATTAGTTGTAATTAAGCTCTTTATTATAGCTTTTTTTCCCCCCATGTCATAGATACCTGGTTTCCAGTGTTTGGCTAAAAACATGCCTGATCCAAGTAAGTTTTAAATGTGTTTTTAAATAGTCTCATCTTGTTGGGTTTTGATCTCACATTTTCCTGGGAGAGAAGAGGAATATTATAGTAGAGAAGTCAAAGGCAATATGTACCTAAGAATGAATGATGGCGAGTAGTTGGGGAGGAGAGTATAAACCAAAAAATAGAAAATTCTAGTAAGGATCAAGAAAAGCACTTGGGCTTGGTAAAACTCAGTTTTCAACTGTGCAGGCAACTTGATTTTCCCTTCTATGAGTCAACAAATATTTCCAGGCAGAAATTATGGGCGTTTCATTTGAGGCAGAGATATGATAAAACTTTGGAGCATTTATATGAGATCCTAATATTTAAAAATGTAACATTGCCACTTTTGTTCTGAGTATGGCTATGACATGTCTCAATAATTTGTTTTGGAAAGAAAGAATATATATATATATGTACATGAATTTGAGAGAATGTCAAGTTTTTTTTTAAGTTTACATCAAAATACATTATATTTTGTTATTTCCTCAGTATTTTCTTACAAGAATGTGGTAAAAATAAAACTATTTAGCAAAACTATGGATTTGAATCTTTCAAATAGCTACATGCAGATCTTTAGCTGTGTTAAAACAGCCTCGTCTTTCATTGTGGTCCTGTGGTTTTAAAAGTTGGGAACTGCTGAGTAGTCATCTGTTAGAAAGGTGGAGCAGCATTAGATTAAGACTGTCCCTATCAAATGACAGATTCTTTACCCTGAACCTTAGTTACAGCTCGAGAGAGCATCTGGCTGCCCTTCATGGAGACGGAGCTACACTGTGATGAGAAAACCATCATCATTGGCCACAGTTCTGGGGCCATTGCGGCCATGAGGTGCGATCTTTGTTGAATTGTCACCCTGTGTAGGCTCCAGCCAGGCTTGCTTGGGAAATACCTTGTGTATATCCGAAGTTTCCACTGGAGAGGAAATGGTGCTGACCTCAAAAGTAGTAAAAATAATCTGTCCTAAGTCCTTCCTGGTTTGGTTAGTGGATTAGCAAACTTTTTTTTGCTCTTACTGGGATACAGTGATCCTTTTATACCAAGTGGCTCTAAACCCCACCAGTTGCCCCATCATCTTCAGAAAAATTCCTTGGCCTTCAAGAACCCCAGTAACTCTGATGTCATCTCTACTTTTACTGCCCCCAGCCTGGTTTACAGACCTCATTGTAATTCCTTAACATGCCAAACATGCACATACCTTAGGCCTGTGCTTGTCACTGTTCTACCTGGAACTCTCTTTTCCTAGATACCTGCATGGCTTTCTCCTTTGTCTCTGCTTGAATGTCTCCTTTCAGTGAGGTCTTCTCTAATCATTCCGTATGGAACTGCAACCTCACCCCACTGGCTCTTGTCTCCTTTATATTTTATCATCTCCCTTATTATCTATAGCACTTCCATTATTTGATGCCCCGCTTATTTCTTGTCTCCTGCCAGTAGAATGTAAGCTCCATGAGGGTGGACTTTGTTCACTCTGACACTGAAACCCCTAGAAGAGGGACTGGCATATGGTAGGTGCTCAGTGTTTGTTGGAGGATAGTGGTTGATATTCCCTCTCCTCTTAAGCCCCCATTCCTTAGGATTCATGGGCACATCCCTGATGCTCTCCATATAACTTGTCTCTCCCTTTAGGCTTTTAAGGTCTTGGGTGCAAGTACTTAGCTGGCCAAATAAGCCTATTAAAGTTGAGTTTCTTCCATATTTGCCAAGCTGAATGACAAAGTAATATAGCTTTTGCGTAGGCTCTTGTTCCAAGTAGTCCCACAGAATGTCACACGAATTCCATGTTAGAGAATCTCACCAAATTCCATAAGCTTTCAGCCACACTAATCAAAGCATACACGAATAATGCTTTTCAATGTGGAGCTCCCTGAAACTGTTACTATTCTATGTCTTCCTTTAGTCTAGTCTTTGCTGAGTGAGAGAACTGTCTACAAATATTTTAACTGAATGTCTACTTGCTGGGCACTGTCCTAGGCACCAGGGTTACAAAGATCAAAGTTCATACATGCCCTTAAGGAGCTGACGGTTTATTAAGGGAGACAGGTATAATACAACACAAACAAGTAAAATGCAATGTGAAATGTGTGGCAGAAGAGGTACATTACTGCTACTGTAGTTTTTTTTTTTAAATATGGTTCACAGACCACTTGCATTGGTAACTTGGGTTGGGGGAGATGACTGCCTTAAAATGCAGATTCCTGGGCCTCAATCCCAATTCATTGAATCGGATGCTCTGGGACTATGTGTTAACCAAGTAATGCTGATGCGTACTGAACGTAGATTAATACGCGCATTAAGAGAATGATTATACTTATATTTATTCAGAAAGGATTATAGAAGACTTTTGGACTACCTTGAAAAATAAGTAGAAACTCATCAAGTAGCCAAGGTTATTGATTAACCATTGAACTTATAGTTCTGTAGTTTCCTTACTAATTTTCATATTAATCTCAACAGCACATAGCACATGCCTCCTGTAAGCTAAATCAAGTGAGTTTTTAGGTGGTTTATTGACTTTATGGTGATCAGATTTAACATTAAATATTAACTGACATCATTTCTCTCCAGGTATGCAGAAACACATCGAGTATATGCTATTGTATTAGTGTCTGCATATACATCAGACTTGGGGGACGAAAATGAGCGTGCGAGTGGTAAGTCTGAAGACAGAAGCTTTAGAAAAGCCCTTCCACTAGTCATGGGGCTGCTTGTTCAGGTTATAAAACAGTATTGTCTTTCAAGTAAGCTAAAAAAAATCTAGGGTCACATGAGAAATATTTACCATCCATATTTAGATAGAATTTTGACACTTTGAAAAGTCGTAGACCTCTTTCTAATCCATAGTCTAGAATTGAACCCTTGAGGAGTGACTTCATTTAAGCTATATACTCCCTCTTCACAAGAACCTCTGGTATCAAGCCCTACAGATTTGAAAACCAAAGGGCTTCTAACTCACACTTAGGTTCTGATTCTTTGTGTCTCTGCTATGGTCTTCACCAGATGTTTTAGATGGCTAGAATGGAACTTATCCATGGGCACTGAGAGGTTATATATATATTTTTCCCCATAGGATACTTCAGTCGCCCCTGGCAGTGGGAGAAGATCAAAGCCAACTGCCCTCACATTGTACAGTTTGGCTCCACTGATGATCCTTTCCTTCCCTGGAAGGAACAAGAAGAAGTGGCTGACAGGTTGGAAGCCAAATTGTATAGATTCACTGACCGTGGCCACTTTCAGAACATGGAGTTTCCTGAACTGATTAATGTGGTAAAGTTTATGCTCAAAGTACCAGCACAGACAGAATGATTTCCGCTATTTTGCATACCAATATAGTAGAGCAATGATCATATTATTAGTAAATAATCATCTACTATCAGATGATTACTGGACACATAAAACAGATCAAATTAAGTTCTAAAAATTCCTAAAAAATAAACACATATAGAACTTTTCAATGTTCAAACCGTTACAAACAGCATTTCCATTTTCCATAGAATCTACATCTCCCCACATTGCTATGAACTAGTATTTTCCTATATGATAAGGGATATAAGGACAGCTTAAACATCCTTATCTATACAAAGTGAATAGGACAGAAATAAAACCCAGGTTTCCCGATTCCTACTCCAGATTAAAACTAAGTAAGTTTTATGTATGTTATAGGAGTTATACTCGTCTTTTGAAATAAAACTTCTATTCTAAAGGTGGAAAAACATGACGAAAGGTCCAGAGTGTTGGCATAGAGTGCAAAACACTAGCTATTTTGAGCTGGCTCAGGATATTAAACCCAGACTGGGGCCTTCATCTTTGACACCCTGCCTTCCAGTCCTTTGAACATGTTGAAAAATTGAAACAAGGATGCTATGCGGCAGGGTCTCCAAGGGTCAGGCAGGGAATATGAGCACAATCAACTTTATTTGTGTGAGATCACAGTGCTGAGGACTAGGGCATGTGAGGAATTCATGCCATAAGAGATTGTGGCAAGATGTTGCCAATTTTGATTTTTTGAGGAAATAACTTGATACAGTGGTTTTTATAGTCAGGGAATATATATGTATGTATATATAATCCATATGTGTATGTTCAATCCATATACATATGGATTATGTTAGTTGGCAACTACAGTGTAAATAAAAAATTTACAAACACTGCAAGACAAAGTCCAAGCCATCCATTTATGACCTATGCCATATATAGTAACTTAGCCACGTACTTTAAATGTCTCTATAAAGCCTGAAAAATGAACATAATGTCAATGTATGAAATCATGGGAACAATTTGAACTTTGTTACAATCTTGAGTATTTTTAAAAATAATCTTTCCACGCCTGAAGTTTTTGTTCTGTAAGGAGTTCTACCTTTTAATTTCCCTGGTCCTTAAGATCTCTTTCAAACATCATTCCATTTTTCTTCTGACCATACTCCCTCCAAAAAACCCTTTTTTCATTTCCTAACATTTTTTGCCTATTATAATCCCCAGCTATTACCTTAAACAATTTCCAGTCCATTACTATAGAAAGTTATATTGGACAGCACTGGAATCTAGGGCATGTATTTTATATTCTTCTCTTGCCCACCATCTAATAATGAATGATAGTTCAAAGTAGGAGTGACTCAACTTGAAATTATTTCTGTTCGACTAGTTTGCTTAGTTGATCATAAAAATCACGGCTTCATAAAATTTACTTATCACCAAACTAAGATCAGAAGGGTTTCAGGGAAGAATCCCATGTAAACTATTTAGTTAAGCCTTCAATTCATGGATTCTCATGATTCTATGTTTGACTACATATGGATCATTATTAAGCATAGAGAGGCCTTGACTCCAGGGAATAGCTATTCTCAGGTGAACAAATTACCTTATACTAAATGGAAATCAACTGAAAGGATTAGGGTTTTCACTCACAATTTGATATTTTTTGGTGTTGTCATAAGTCTAGAGCCTCACTATTTGTTTTAGTCAAAGTTTACACCTATACGTATCTATTATCAGAGGTGCTGTATTTTAAAATTATTCTCTTTTCTCTTCAGTTATTCAGAATTAAAAACATGCTATAGGAAATATGTTTAAAGAGACTCTTTATTCTGGTAAGGCAAAGAAAACTTTTTTATGTTTTAGCCATTGATTGTAAGCTTTAAAAAAATCAGTCTCTGATTATTAAGACACAATACAGTCTATTTAAAACTGGCTCCTGCTCTCCACTTATAATTCTCCTCTAAGTTCCGTTTTCTTATTAAACAAGACTGCACCTCTGTGCTAGGCCCTGTCCCAGGAAGGACAGATGTTGTTCTTGCCATTCCAATACTTGAAGTGATCTTTATTTCAAAGAGTTAGTGTCATCAAAGGCTAATTCTATACAGCTGGCCACTGAATTTATCTGGTTCTTAAAAACTGATTACTGAGCTGAATTTTATTTTACTAATCCCATTTATCTCAAAGTAACCCTTGTGATGGTTATCCACTTAGAGTGTCTTCAAAGTGTGTTTGAACTCAGGCCTCAGGTGTAGCTGAGCTTTAATTCCATTCCTTTGGTCCCATACTTTTGGCCTAGAAACAGAAACTTTTAAATGTAGCTACGAAAGGAAAATACAACAGCTGAGGTCCTAAAAAGTCCTGCCGCTAACGTCTGTGCAACACTACATCATATAAGCTAGTGTTTTCCATATGGCTAAAGACTGGAACTGAAAGTACTATTAGAACTGAGGCTTTACAATATAATGGCTTTCTGCTCATTTCAGACATATTATACCATGATTTTTAGAGCAGAATAAGGAAAGGGAACAAATCTAAAACAGGACAAGAAAAAAGGAATGGCACCCCCACCCCAAAATAAAGTGTGAATGGAGAGCAATAGATTAGTTGTAATTTTAGTTAAATAATGAAAATCTAGGAGAAAATTCTAGTAAATAATACAATTGAGCCAGAGTGAAAATAGTAAGACTTTAACAAAGACCAGTGAAAAGATTTCCTTTAGGATGACAATGACAATATGCACTGAAAACATATCCTTGATAACAGTCATTTAGGTTTGAGGTAAATACAGTGGCATAATCAATCCTCTGAAAGAATATTTCTGACATAAAAAGGAATTAATAGTATGTGGAAAAGGGATGTTCCAACTCTTTTCACTCATGCCAGACTATTCCTATTTTCACCGTTTATTCTCAATGGAATCACTGAGAAAATGGAAAAGAGAAATGTGATAGTGAACCAAATGTAAATAATTTCTAATGAAGGCCTTAATAAATAACTTTAAAATAAGCATATTTAGGCTCTAGCCCTTAGCCAATGGTAAATATGGATTTGCTGGCTTCTTTTTCCATGAACAATCAAAAGGAAAGTCTGGAAAGCTTCAGAAGATGTGGTCCTCTAGAACTTCAGAGTATTTTATTTATTGAAGAATAGTTTCACTACTAATCTTACCTTCTTTATATTCTGTTGGCTACTCTACCAAGATAAATTTAGTCTTCATAGATAAAAAAATATTTTCATAGCAGCAAGTCTGTATCCATTATTGTCAAGTTTGCTTTCAAGGGAATTTGATGTTCCATCATAAATTATTTGCTCCCAAAGGAACTTCATTTTCAAAATGTCAGTAAAGTTCATAGTTCTCTATTAAAATTCAAGCCACTCTGTCATGTAAATACAGTTAGATGGTGAAATCTCACCACCTTCATGGCAGTCGTCAAAAACCTTTAAAAAAGAAAAAAGTTTATATTCAAACTGAAGTTTTACAATTATAATATTAGTAAGTCTTAAGTGTTAACTACAACTCAAATTTCTGTTAACAAAATATCCGAGACCCAACCATCTAAGCAATATTAAAAACCAAACTTTCAAATTCAAAGAGATTAGGACTATATTAAGAACATACTATAATAGGACCTACTCTATGATGATGAAGTTAGTTAATGGGAGACCTTTTGCTATAGCATTAAGATGACCATGTTTACCTACCTACTGGTGAAAAGGCTATCATGGGTAACATAGGAATACAAGAGATCCATACATATGAATGACTTAATTTTGACTAACCTAATGTTTTATGTTTAGCTACCTTCCGTTTTGTGAAGGGTACTGAATAGAATTCCCAATATGCTAGCCTTTTGTCTAGTAATTGAAACCAGGGCAGAGAGTGCTTAGATATATAGAAAAGGGCCATTATAATGAAATAAAACACACTAGCAGTCCAAGAATATAAATGTGATGAGGGCTGGGACAGTGCCTATAGCTCACAGTTGGCACTCATCAACTATATGGGAATGGATGAAGAGTGCTGGGGCATGCTGTAGGCATAAGAACATTATCTCTGAGTTTGAATCCTGGTTGTTACTTCTAAGCTATTTGGTCATCCTCAGCCTTAAGGGAAAATAACAGCTCCAAGGGACATAAGGAGCATTAAATGAGACCACAAATCTTCAAAAATATGTCTGGTCCATGGTAGGTTCTCAAGAAATCTCATTTCCCTTCCTGCTTAAGTTAAATGATTAATGGTTGTCAAAAATTGTCCATTTCAGGGCCAAGAGCAGAAAACACAAATTTCTTTAACCTGGTTATTCTAAGAATGTAAGACAATGATTTGTTCATTAAATGTCATCAAGGTTACATGGCTGTTTGAGTAGCTCTTGCTCAACCCTGAGAGTCTGAGAAAACTGGGGTGTGCTTGCTAGTTAAGTTTTGTGGCATTTGTACTTGGTAGCAGTCAAGTGTAAAACCACTTTAACTCACCGGGCAGAGTCCACAGGGGGCCCGGACCAAACCCGTGGGTGGGATGATTGGATTGACTGCCCTATATAGTTTCATATGTCCATCTACACTGCCAACTGTGCCTTCTTTTGCAGTGATGATAGTCATCTCCACTTTCCCATCATATATGAGTGTATTCAAGATGGTTTCAATGTCCTCCATGGACAACTCTACCTGTAAAGGAGACATATTAGAAAGGAAACAAAAATGACATGGAGAAATTCTTTTGGAGGGTGTTATAAACAGTCAAGGGTCACAATTCCTCAGTGAAATGGAGAAGCATTATGCTGGCAAGTAATTGAAAGCATGAAGAGGTTAAACAATGGCCTAAGTTAGCACAAACCACTGAAACACTAGGGACAGAAATCTAACCTCATGCTAAGTTTGACACTTTCTGATATTTTCACTCTCCTAAGTAAAATCTAGAAGTCTTGTAACATTTCTTTGGCAAGAATTTAATGAGATTTATAAAATACTTGAGCAGAATAGACATCAAAATCTTTAGTTCAAATTCCTAGTATTTTATAAATGAGAAATCTAGGAAATGAAAATGACTTGTCCAAATGGCCACTCCAATTTCTTCTCTGATCATGAAAAGCATCCAGCAGTGTCTATATATAGGTCTTCAAAAGACTGTGTTGATAACACCACTTTTAAGAGGAAAAATACCAATAAATGACAACTGACGTGATGACTTATGCTTAGCACATATATGCCTTTGAAAGTCAAGAACATATCAGAGCAGACTTGAATTTTGGTAGTGAAATGCACTGTCAGGCCTCCACTCTGCTGGTCTATACATAACCCAAACTCAAGTTCATATAGTTCAGACAATACTGATGGCAATGACCACCTTTGCCTAACTGGCTTAGGATAGTACTTTCTCAAAGCGAGTTCTGCAGAATGTTTGTAGGAATCACCTGAAGAAAGGGCCTGGGTCAAGTATGATTGGAATACATTGTAAATTATCCTTATGATGAGTAAGTTTTTTAAAATAACTTGAAAATTAGAAACAGTTCCAACCTTGCTGATCCCCAATTCACAGATATATTTCCATACTTCATGTGATGAAGCAAATGAACTATTTCTTTGTATCATTGGATTCTGTTTGCTTTCTCGTGCTGTTTCTGCCTAAGGGTAGAAACAAATCTCAGGAAGAATATTGTTTTCTGAATACAGTTTATACAGAGTGAAATCAACAGAACAGATTTTGTTTAGTAAAAGTACCAATTTCAATATTTTCAATTTCTATAAAATGATATATAAGATTAAACATTCTTTATGAAGAAACTTAAAAAAAAGATAGTTTCCTCAATTATGCCTCACCTTGGTTTGTAAGAATTTAAAACACTGTTGGTTAAGCACCTCTACAAATTCAGATTCAAAATCCTGGTCACTGTACCAGGCTCCACCAGTCACAGACCGGTCCGGCTGCAGGTTATAGAGCATATATACCTTCTTTTTTGATGCCTAGGAAAAAACATGCATAGCAGATGTGGTTATAAGATAACAAAGTCATCCAAAACTCAGATTTGAAAAAAGCCTAAAACATATTTTAGAGCAGTTTTAGATTTACATAATTATTGTGAAGATAGTATAGAATTCCCATTTACCTATGCTCAGTTTTCTCTATTAACATCTTACATTACTAGGGTATGTTTGTTATAATTAATGAACCAATATCAATATTAAAAGTCTAGAGTTTAGTCATACTTCCTCAGTTTTTCCCTAAAGTCCTTTTTCTGGTCCAGAATCCTATCCAGGATAACACATTATAGTGAGTTGTCATGTCTCCTGAGGCAAATTTTAGTTGTGACAATTTCTCAGTCTTGTTATTGATTAACTTGCCAGTTTTGAGAATTATTGGTTGGGTATTTTGCAAGATGTCCCTTACTTGGGATTTGTCTGATTTTCTAATGATCAGAATGAGAAAAGACCACAGACGTAAAGTGACCGTCTTATCACATCACATCAAGAGTGTTTGATTGTCACCAAGTGATGACTGATCATCACCAATATAACTTATCAGTGTTAATGTTAACTTTGATCACCTAGATGGAGGTAGGGTTTTCTCCACTGAAGTTACTTTTTTTCCTGCCTTTTCCTTGGAAGAAAGTCACCGTGCACAGCCTACGCTAAGGATTGGCAGTTACATTCTATTTCCTTGAGGGTAGAGTTTCTAGATAAATTATTTGGAATTCTGCACAGAAGATTTATTTGTTCTCCCCTATTTATTTATTCAAACATTAATTTATCAATATGGACTCATTGATATTTTATTTATTTTTATTTATTTTTTTAGGTGAGGCAACTCTTAGTTGACCTCATAGATTGCAAGGACCTTGTCAGCTTACAATCTCTTTTTTCTGTTTTTTACAACTACAGCACCTGGTCTTCCTAGGTGGTCTCCCATCCAAGTACTAACCAGAACCAACTCTACTTAGCTTCCGAGATCAGATGAGATCGGGCTTTTCAGGGTAGCATGGCCGTAGACATTAATATTTTATACTTTGAAAACATCATGCTAAGTGAAAGAAGTCAGACACAAAAGACCACATATACTATGATCCCATTTATAGGAAGTGTCCAAAGTAGGCAAATCTAGGGAGACAAAAAATACATTAGTGGTTATCAGGGCCTGGGGGAGAGGTGGGTGAGGGAGGCTGAGGAGTGACTGCTAAGAGTCACGTTTTGGGGTGATGAAAATGTTCTAAAATTAGAAGAGATGATGGTTGCACAACTCTGTCAATATACTTAAACCCAATGAATTATACATTTTAAAAGGATGAAATCATATCTTAATAAAACTATTAAGAATAAAAATGTAGAAGAATTGGAAAAATGAAGCTAGCTGATAGGTATGTGGGGATTCATTATATTATTTACTCTTGTATATATTTGAAATTATCCATTAAAATGTGGAAGAGAAATAATATTCTAATTTAGGGAGTGTTATGACATAAATACCATTGATAAATGAAATCACTGATCAATTCTTATTTGCTGAAATTTGGGTTCAAGTAAACTTTAGTCTAGGGCAATCTTGGCTCCTCTGACACTTAAATCAGTGAGGTCAGCAGCAGTTGTCCCTGATAGAGCCAGTTGTGGAGCACAGAGCCCCCGAAGGGTGGGGTAGAATGTGGAAGCGGAGAAACACCATGTGTTGGAACAGATGCTCCACCTAGGCAGGGATCTTTCTCTGACTTGTTCACTAATGTATTCTAAGCACCAAGAATAGTGCCTGGCATATAGCAAATTCACAATAGATAATGGTTCAGTAAGTAATATGCCAAGATGAAGTAAACTATCTTACATACCACAAAACATGTTTATGACTCCAAAATTTTTTCCTGACGAGTAGTTTTAAAATTAAGTAGGCAGTGACATACTTAAGCAGCATCTCCAAACCAAAATGAGCTAACTTTTTAAAAATCTTTTTTGATCAGTTGTTTTAAATCATGATAAAGAAAAATAAAAACCTGAAATATATTGGAGCAATATATGTACTACCGACATTTGGGAGAAGAAAAGAGAAAACTACTCACTGCCACCGACTTAACAGCTTTGATAAGCTTTTTACTTTCCAAATTCTTTAGAATCTTGTTAATTTCTGTTAATGGCAAATTACTTTTGTATCGGATATCTCTGCTCCATATTCCTATAAGAAAGTAAAGTAAAATAAGTAGAACACCACAGGATTGTGTTTATAATCCTGTTGCTTTTATCTCATTCCAAAACTAGCAAAATATATATGTATATATTCCTAGAGCACAGGTATAGGAAAAATTAAGTGACTTAGAGGAAGAATCACAGATAAAGGAACAAAAAATGCAAAACAATACATAAGTTAAATGTTCTATTTTCTAACTGGAAATTTCTTGGAATCCCAGTGTGGAATCTTTTTAAAAACATATGAAAAGAACATTTTTGTAATGCAATAAAAATCTTGAATATTATTAACTTATACAGTCAAGTGCTGCATAATGATGTTTTAGTCAATGATGGACAGAATATACGATGGTGATCCCATAAGATGTCACCTAGTGACATCACAGCCGTTGTAGCTGTCTTAATGTCAAAACACAATACATATGTGTTTGTGGTGATGTTGGTGTAAATGAACTTATTGAGTTGCTAGTCATATAAAGGTATAGCACATACAATTGTGTGTGGTACATAAATACTTGATAATAATAAATGACTATGTTACTGATTTAAGTATTTAATATACTTTTTATTGTGATTTTAGAGTGTACTCTCTACTTATAAAAAAAGTTTGCTGTAAAACAGTAGGCTGTGTTACACTGGCAGCAGCTTCATACATCTTATGGTTACTGTATCTCTTGGCTGTATCATTTTCTCTTTTGCTTGATTTAATCTCGTGTTATTTTGTATGGTAATATGCTGTTCAGGCTTGTAGTCTAGGAGCAAAAGGCTATACCAGTGGTCCCCAACCTTTTTGGCACCAGAGACCGATGCTCCTATGAGAATCTAATGCCTGATGATCTGAGGTGGGACTAAGGTGGTGACTAGCACTGGGGAGCGGCTGCAAATATAGATGAAGCTTCGCTTGTTCGTTCACCACTCACCTCCTGCTGTGCGGCCTGATTCCTAACAGGCCATGGATCAGAACTGGTCCGTGGCCCGGAGGTTGGGGATCCCTGGCTATACCTAGCCTAAGTGTGCAGTACTCTATGACAATAAAGTCATCTAACGATGTATTTCCCAGAATGTATCCCCTTCATTAAGTGGTGCATGACTGTATTTGTCTCTTCCATCCCCTCCTGTACCCCAACTTCTGTTTTCTATAAATTTTATTTTAGGTTGTATATGTGAAAAACAAACTTAACTTTGGGTCAAGGTTAAGCTGCCATCCTCAGTGGAGAGCAAAAAACCCTCTATGTGAGCACCTATGTCCATTATTTATACAACACTACATTTGGGAGATGGAAAATAGGAAGATTGTAATTCTTATAGCCACTTAAAGCCCTGCTCAGGGAAGCTATGATTTTTCTTTCAAAGAAGGAAATAAGTGTTACATGTGAAAACGGAATTTTATGTAAAAATATTTTGTATTTTCTTCCCAGTATAGAGGCATAATGAGATAGGAAGAATTTTTTAAAAAATAGAAAATGGCTTTTTCATAGGTCTACTTTTAAACTGTTAATTTAACTTTCTAACTAATAAATATAAAAATTATGTGTTTTCAGATTACATCTAATTGTTAAAGCTAATAGATCAAATAGACCCTAAATTGTAAGAGCAATTTAGATATAGTTCTTCAATGAAGATAGGAGACCTACGTTGGATACTTCCCGAAACCAGAGAGATGTTATTATTTACAATTTACAGATAAGATGAAGACACTAAGGCTTTCCAAGTTTATAGAGTGAGGATTAAAAATGAACCTTAAGTTTTAATTTATTTTGAATAGATAATATATTCATGTGGTTCAGAATTCTGAAGTTTCTTTCCATCCCTGCCCATAGATACCTAATCCCGCCTCCTTTGAGGCAACAATGACATTGCTCCTGGGTATCCTTCGAGCATATGTATGGTATATATGTTATATTTTCCTTTCCTTTTTACACAATGGCAACATACTCTACATACTGATCTATACCCTGGGAAGCCAGGATCTCAGTCCTTGTATCTGGTCCTAAAGACAATGTTTTTTCTATTTCTTCCTTCACATACTTACCTTTATTTCCTGCATCCTCAATGATTTGATATACTAGTTTTTCTTGGTTATCTGATCCCTTCATTTTACTGCAGGGGAATAAAGTAGAATTAAAAAGGCAAAGAGGTACAGGATAATCTAATAATCTACATGACTACTTAAATGCATTAACAGACAAGGTCATCACATTGACTTATTTACTAAAAGAAGGGCTTACCTTAAAAAGAATGAGACAGGGCTGTACCAGAATGAAAAGATATTCAAGATACAGTAAGTGAAAAAACAAGTTGCAAAACAGTATGGATAGCATGATCCCATTTTTGTTAAGGAAAAAAAGGTTATATATAAATATATGATTTAAATATATAATCATCTAGATATATTTATATATATATAGAAGAAAAGATATATACCAAATTATTAAGAGCAGTTATCTCCGGGAAATGGAACTCATGATAGGAGGCAGGGATGATATGGAGGACAGGTTTACATTATGCAATTCTGTATTGGCTTTTTTCAAAAACATATATTACTTTCATAATTAAAATTTTCTTAACATAATTAGGTACTTACCCAGCATTCTGAGAATCCTTTATTCTATACAGAAGGCCTGTATTGCTCCTTAAGAGATCCAACTGACCCTGAAGTATTTTAATAGAAAATAGCAGTCAATTATTTTGTCAAATCCAATGACAAATGTTAATGCATTCTTTAATATTTTATACAGACTAAAACAGCCTACCTCCCATAGTTGTCATTTCCTCACTTGAGATTTAAGTTTTTGCCTACATATCACATGCACTGCATTTTTTAAAACTTAGGTCTATATATCATCATTTTCTAAAATATTAATACCTAATAATTTCTTATATGCTAGATTCTGCCTTGGTTATGTAATCAATGCATAAAGAACTATAAACAATCAGCTTTAGGAGAGTTTAGTCAAGATGGCAGAGTAGGTAAACACTGTGCTGGCCTTCTCACAACCACATCAAAATTACAACTAAACTACAGAATAGCCATCATTGGGAGTTATCTGAAGTCTAGCTGAACAGAAATCCTACAACTTCTGGACACAAAGAAGAGGCCACCTCGACACTGGGAGGAGGAGCAGAGATGCGAAATGGGCCAGTCCCACATCCACATGTGGTGGTTGAGAACTAGGAGAAATATCTCAGCTGTGGAGGTCCTCCCAGAAGAGCAGGCAGTCCCAGCCCCACACCAGGCTCCCCGGTCCAGGATGCCAGTGCTGGGAAGAGAAGTCTCCACAACTTCTGGCTGTGAAAACCAGGAGAGATGTGGCTGAGTGAGACGAAAGGCCTCTGTAGTAGATGTTCCTCTTAAAGGGCTGGCAAGCAGACATACTTGCTGACTGACTCACTCTCACTCTCAACTCTGGCACTGGGGCAGCAGCTCAAAAGGTGCCAGGGACATACAGGGAGGAACTGAGTTGTCTGGCTTCAGGGCGAGGGCTGGAGAGGCGGCTTTCTCTCAGAAGTGCTGACAGAAGGCATTGTTCCTCTGTAGAAGCTTCCCCTTCGTGGCTCAAAGACCCAAGCAACTGCCATATCTGAGTCTACCACAACGTAGCTATATGGCTAGTCTTCAGCCGCCCTTTGTGGTTGCCCTGCCCTCGTGATTCCCTGAGACGATGCCCCTCCCAACTTGCGGGTCCACCCAAGCCACTTCCAATGGATTATCCATACAAACGGGCCTGTCTTGGCTCACACTGCAGACTTTCCTAAAACCTCTCAAAGGTTCATAAAACCTAAATAAGCAGCATCTGGCCTCGGTGTGCCCCATACCTCTTACTGAGCAGTCCCCAGCCTAGCACTACTGGCAGCCAGCCTCGGTTTGTGGGTTGGCCTCTTAAGGCACTTCTAAGCCTAACATGGGTGGCAGCCATCTGCAGATTGTTTGGAGGCTTATGCTGGATGGTCCCGGGCAGAACACAGGCTGCAGCTGAACTTGGCCTGCAGCAGAGCCCCTCCTAGGAAGCCCCAGCCTGCATGCCCAGTGGCCAGCTTTGGTCTGAGCCAGAGCACCACCGGGGGTCACATCTGAGGATCACACACCCAAAGGGCAGACAGGGCAGGCAGCAGAGCCCTGCTAAAGTGAATTCTGCTCTATAGGGTCAATCCCTGCACAACAGCTCCTCCATTGGTCATGGCCAGTTCTCACAAGAAATCAGCCTGAGGGTCAATCCCTCCCACTGAAGAGTAAACAGCAACCAAGGCTCAACTATAACAGGAGGGCACACACAACCCATACAAGGGACATACATGGAGCACCTGACTCAGGTGACCAGGAAAGACTGCCACTGCACCACAAAGCACACCTACTCCATAAGGCCGCTCTACTAAGACTGGGAGACATAGCAGCCCTATCTAATACATAGAACAAACATAAGTAGGCAGCCAAAATGGGAAGATACAGAGACAAGTCCCAAACAAAAGAACAGAACAAAACTTCAGAAAAACTAAACAAAATGGAGAATAGCAATCTACCAGATGCAGAATTCAAAACTTGTTATAAGGATGTTCAATGAACTTAAGGGCAGAGTAGGTGAACTCAGTGAGAACTTTAACGGATAGAAAACATAAAAAAGAAACCAGTCAGAAATGAAGAATACAATAACTGAAATGAAGAATAGGAGGAATAACAGAAAATTAGATGAAACATAGGATCGAATCAGCAAGTTAGAAGATAAGGTAGCAGAAAATACCCAATCAGAAGAGCAACAAGAAAAAAAGAATCCAAAAAAAAAAAAAATGAGGATAGTTTAAGGGGTCTCTGGGACAGCATCAAGCATACCAACATTTGCATCATAGGGATATACAGAGAGCAAGGAATTGAAAACCTATCTCAAGAAATAACTGAAAAGTTCTCTAACCTGGCAAAGGAACTAGACATACTACACATACAAGGAAGAGCAGAGAGTCTCAAACAAGATGAACCCAAAGAGGCCCACACCAAGACACATCATAATTAAAATGCCAAAGGTTAAAAGAGAGAATCATAAAAGCAGCAAGAGAAAAGCAATTATTTACCTACAAGAGAGCTCCTATAAGACCGTCAGCTTCTCAACAGAAACTTTGCAGGCCAGAAGGGATTGGTAGAAAATATTCAGAGTGATGAAATGCAAGGATCCAAAACCAAGATTACTCTAACCAGCAAAGCTATCATTTAGAATCAAAGGACAGATAAAGAACTTCCTGGAAAAGAAAAAGCTAAAGGAGTTCATCATCACCAAGCCAGTATTACAGGAAATGTTAGAGGGACTTTTTAAAGAAGGTAAAAGAAAAAAAAATAAAAATATGAATAATAAAATGGCAATAATTACATATCTAGCAATAATTACTTTAAAAAAAAGATGTTTCATGAAAATGGAAACAAAAAGCTGGGGTAGCAATATTTATACAAGACAAAATAGACTTTAAAACAAATATTATAACAAAAGACAAAAAAGAATCTGGTAATTCTACTTCTAGGTATTTATTTGAAGAAACCAAAAACACTACTTTGAAGGGACATGTGAATCCATATGTTCATTGCAGCATTATTTACAATAGCCAAGATATGGAGGCCACTTGGTGACCAACAATAGATGAACGGATAAATAAGAGGTGGTACATATATACTATGGAATATTACTCAGCCATAAAAAAGAATGAAATCTTGCCATCTGCAACAACATGGATGGACCTAGAGGGTATTATACTGAATGGACTAAGTCAGACAGAGAAAGAAAAATGTCTTATGTGAAATCTACAGAACAGGTTAAACAAACAACAGAAACAAGCTCAAAAATACAAAGAGCATTTTGATGGTTGTCAGATTGGAAGGTGGGGAAAAGGTGAAGGGGGAGGAAGTAAGAGGTACAAATTGGTAGTTACAAAATAGTCATGGGGGTATAGAGTACAGCATAGGGAATATAGTCAGTAGTATTGTAATAACTATGTATGGTGTCAGATGGGTACTGGATTTATTGGGGTGATCACTTTATAAGTTATATAAATGTCTATCATTATGTTGTACACCCGAAATTAATATATTGTATGTCAACTATAATTGAAAAAAATAAAAATAACAATAACATTTCCCTATGTTGCCATTACATATTGTTCTAAACAGTAAATTGTAAAACAAATTGCATTGCAAAATTAAAAATAAGCAAAAATAAAAAACAATAACATTTCCCTATGTTGCCATTACATATTGTTCTAAACAGTAAATTGTAAAACAAATTGCATTGCAAAATTAAAAATAAGCAACTTTAGAATAAAAATCTATATTCAAAAAATTCAATAAATATAAATATAATAAAAATATAACATATAACAAAGTTCAAATAAAGGCTAACATGCATATTCTATAACACAATGATTAAATAAGATTTACAAAGTGATAGTGACATTTATCGATATGTGTGATTTCTATTGTGTTACATGAAAATTAGGCAGAAAGGTCAACCAATGAATAAAAGGCCAGCAGTTTAAAAAATTCAATAAATATAAATATAATAAAAATATAACATATAACAAAGTTCAAATAAAGGCTAACATGCATATTCTATAACACAATGATTAAATAAGATTTACAAAGTGATAGTGACATTTATCGATATGTGTGATTTCTATTGTGTTACATGAAAATTAGGCAGAAAGGTCAACCAATGAATAAAAGGCCAGCAGTTTTGTTTTCCTATAACAAATCAAAAGTAAAATAAAGCAAGTCTGACATGCTTCTGAATTTCCTTGGGTCTGAATTTCCTTACAGGCACCCAGATGGCTTTCCACTGGGGTTCTAGCAGTTTGAGGAAGTCATGGCAAAGAGAGACTCAATTCCCATGTGTTAAGACTGGGCATACCCATGGCTTGGAAATGGGTTTATATATGGATGAACAGTAATACCCTCCTCTGCCCAACCCCACTAAGTGGCAAAATCAAACTGGAATGATCAATATGGAGGCTCCATTCAGTCATTTAATTCAGCCTATGAATATTTACTGAACATCTGTATTGCGATTGTTGTTTAGGGGGAAAAGCATGAATTCTAAAAGAGAATCACATAGCTAACTTGAATACCATCTGTTGGCATTAATATAGAGGTAAGGAATGGGTGGGATGGGGTCTCAGAGAAGCGGCTTTGGCCCAGTCTGAGGATTCAGGGAGGCTTTCTGGAGACAATAGCAGAGCTGAGTCTTGAAAGATAATGAAGAGTTAGTCAATCTGTGAAGAAAGGGAAGAAGGGCCTTTTAAGCAGGAAAGCCATGAGCAAAGGACCTGAGGCATGAAACAGCATGAGTGGCAGAGAACTAAAAACAATTTGTTCCCTCTGAAACTTAATTTTTGAGGCAAAATTATGGAAGATGTAGAAGGTGAGGAAGGTCGAGGCTCAATGTGGTCAACCTATGAGTTTGGACTTGAATCTCTAGAGTTGAGAGGATTTTTGTCAGGAAAGTGACTTGGTCAGATCTGTATTTAACAGAGATCAGGCTGGCTGCTCTGAGGAAGATAAAGTCAGGAAAGCCAGCTAAGATCCTCTGTAATAGTCCAAGTAAAAGCCAAGAGCCCGAACATATGCAGGGATAGTAGAAGTGGAAATGGAAGGACAAATTTGAGACTTGTTTAAGATCTAAAATCAGCAATACTTTGTAATTAATAGTTACTCTCTTGTTTAAAATTCTTCAATAGCTCCACAACTACCTACAACCTATAGCCAAAAGGACTAGCAGTAGGTGGAGTTGCAGAGGTGGTAAAAGAGAGAGAGTTGTTGAGAATGATTTTCAGACAGAAAGGAAAGGGATGAAAGAATGGTCAGAGGACAAAAACATTTTCCATTGTCACAACCTCCAGCATCCTTTCCTCTATCCTTCCTGAAGCTGAAGACCTTCAACATGGTGAATTGACTAGAAATTACCAACAGTCCTTTTTTCCTGGTGCTAAAACAGGAGTCGACAATGTGGCCCACTGTTTGTTTTTATAAAGTTTTACTGGAACACAACCACACCCAAATTTTTATGTGTGGTCCATGACCACTTTCCTGAAGAGTGTCTATGACAGAAACCATATGGCCTACAAAGCCTAAAACACATACTATCTAGCACTTTATAAAATGTTTGCCAATCTCTGAACTAGAAGCTCGAAACAACAGTTTGACAGAGCCCTTAAAACTCCAACAAAGGATCTCCATATACAGACCCCTCAGAACTCCAATAAAACTGGTAGATTTAAAAAGCAAATCAGCCTTCAGATGAGTTTTTAGTATAGAAATCTTTCACCTAGTTGCTAAGACAAACTGAAATGCTCTCAAGACATGGAGTTTTGGTGATGAGGGAAAAAAAGGAGAAATAGGTAGATTTAGAACATGGGGGTACATTACTAGTTGGGGTGTTTTTGGACAGTAGAGAATGACATTAGAGCCCCAGGAGAACAGAAGAGATTAAGAGCAGGTAGAAGGGCTTCAATGCAAATCTCCACTGCAGTGTCACGGAGGTGGAGCCTGCACTTTCTCTCAGAGACACAGCACTGCTGACATTCACCTGGACTCATTCCTGCCTCTTTAAATGCTTAGAGTGAGACTGTGGACAGTGATACCCTAATGAACTGGCTCCATGATGACTCACAGAAAAATCAGGGGGATATATTTCAGAGGCAATGGCCTAACACCAGCAGTAGTAAGAAAACAGGAGGTAAGAACAGACGACGTCTATGTGCCTTTATGTATCTTAATGACAATTAGATTAACAAATATGACAGTTAAAACAAAATACATTTATTTCATTCACCTTATAAAATAATACATAATTATTTCTTCTTTCCTCAGTTTTGGCAGACTGAACTGTTTCCTGCTTTAGAATCTTATCTGTCACAACTCAACGTACCTTCCAATGTTTTCATGACTTAATAATAGGAAGTAATGACAACTGTAATATATAAATAATTACATGAACTAGTTGGATTCACCTTACCATGGACAAAAGTCTATTGATGGCCACTGCCCGCTGCTGGGCTTCAATATGAGGCATTTCATTCTGAATTACTTGGTCTGTGATTCCATGAGGGAACTGGTGACATAATTCTATAATCCTAGGAACAAACGCATTAATGATATTATTCATGTTTTTACTTCAAGAGGCATTTGGGGGGAAAATACTAGCAGAACAATGTGAAATTTTTTTTTTTTTTCAAATTTGGCATATAGTCTGGCTTCTATGATGTAGGTTCTAAATCAAAGCATGTTAGAAACTGAGAAAGATGCTTTTGAAATACATGTTTACATTATTATCGTTATTTAAGGGAATGTTTTTCCCACTAGTATGAACTTTAAATTAGAACAAAAATAAAATGAACACACAGAAAAAAATATTAATGCTACAGCTTCAATTTTCTAAGATGCAACAAGGATGACAAAGTTAAGATATGCATTGCGGAGCCATAAGTCTGCAAGCAGGAGGCAAATCAGACACTTTTGGTGGGAATCTAAAATTTGTTATGACAATTCACTACAAGTGGGTGAATTATCCCTACCATACAAAAATGAGCCCATATCTTCACCCTGTCATGGGATCATTACATGTGTTATTCATAACAGTTTGAGGAAGTTGGGGTCTTTTCAAACTATGTGGTAACCTAAAAATAGCAGTGCACTGATAAAGCGTATAAAACTGGGAGAAGCTTTAGGTGCCCTAAAATCGCGACTTAAATACTGCACTGAAACCATTTTTGGATTAACGTCCTTTGTAATCACAAACTGCACCCAAACTTCGCCCAAACGTTCTGTCGTGGGAGCTCCCATTGCGACGAGAGTGATCCTGTATTAGAACACGTATCCCCAAGCACCACGGGAGAAACACCGAGTCTTCTCTCTGAGCGTCGATCACCTTAACGCAGGAAGGAAGCGTATCTTCACAACTTCCCAAACAGCATCCAGACAGCTACACAAAGTTGCAAACAGTCAAGATCATTTTAAACTTCTTAAGAGTTCTGCGCTCCAGGGGTAGGGCTTCCAAATCCGAGAATGCCCTTCCTGCGCGCTCCCTGAACTCGCTCGGGTATCAACCTACGGTCCCTGGAGAAGGCTGCCCAAATGACTGGCCGTCTGCAGGGGCTTTCGAGCCGGGAATCGAGCCTCACTCACTGATTTACCTGTTTTCTATTTCGACCGGATCTGCGTCGGGCGGCTGCACTTTCACCTTCACCTCAGCCATGAGGATACAGTTCCCACCCTTCGCGCAAGAGACGCCCAGAGTTCCCAAACAGCAAGTCGGGGAATCCAAGAACTGGCGAAGACAGTACCAGGACGGGGCGAGGGGCCTTCTTCCTCCTGTCGCAGCCGGTCCTTCCTTGTCTGTAGGCTTTAGGTGGCCAAGATGTGCCTGCTCCGCCTCACTCGCCGGACCTGCTACATCTTATTCTTGTTTTCCAGAATATCCGTGGCTGTCGGATAAACAAGGTTGGTTCCTTCATTCTGAATTGGAACTCCACTCTTTAGCACTTTCCAAACTCTGTGAAGGCATATTTTTGGAAGCCTTAGGAAAGGAGCTTCAGGAGGGTACCACTCTTCCTTCCAGCCAAGAGGCAGGGGCGGAGCTGGTTGCTAGGAAGCCGGGTTTCCGCCAATCACCTGCCCAGCTCCCAGTAGGCGGGGCGCGGCTCGCAGCGTCTGTGGTAACCCGAACGCCAAAGGAGAGGCTAGAGGCAATGAGAGGTGGGTTACCTGGCAGGAAATGGCGGCAGTACCTCAGGGGTCCCAGTCTGGGCCCCGGTGGCCGGAGGTGGCGAAAAAGGAGGAGGAGGAGGGCCTCCTTCACTCCAGCTGAAAGGAAGCTAGCGTCTCTGGCCACCCCTGGTGGGCGGAGACGGAGACTAGATGGGGTTCCGGATTCCGGCGGCGAGTGGGCAGAGTGAAGGGAGGTGGGGATTGGCTGCTATTTACCCCACACTGCCGTTTGGGCTCTGCAGATCGGTCTGCTGTTTGATCCCCTTCGCTTAGGGCCTTACTCGCCGCCCCAACCTTCCAAGGGCAGCTCCTTGTTGCCGCTCGCTAATTACTCCCCAACTATTTCTATTTTGAACTAATTTTTCAACTATTTTTATTTTAACTGCCTCTCACATAAATGCAAATGTGAGGATGGGCAATCTTTCCAAGTCCAGCCACCTTTCTGTAGGGGCTAGTGCTCTACTATCGGGATTTACAATTCAAATTCTTGCCCTCCGACCTGGAACTAACCAGGCATTAAGGTCACTCCTTAAATTTAGTTGTACCACTTTGGGAAATACAGTCTGTGATACCATTCACACCACAAGACGTTTAGAACATTATTATTTAGAATTGTAACAACCAAAACTAAAGAGAAATTAGTAATATCCTTAATGCCCAACCACAAATTGATAAATAAGATTATATAAATACGTAGGAAATTATAAATAATAGAATGAGGGTGCAAGAAGACTGTAAAAATTGAATAAATATAGAGATTAAGTTAAGTAAAACCTATGCATTCATAACCATTGAAATTTGAAAAGGCTATACAGAGATGTAAGTGGTTGCTGTATTAAGGTGAGGGTCCTCCCCCCCCCCGGCGCCCCCGAATTCTTTATGCATTGAAAATTAATGACACCCAGGCTTCCATACTCATACTTAATTATTTATAAATATTGTAGATGAAGTGAGAGACATTTGTGTTTGTTGCTCACTGTTTATGTTGGTGCCAACTTTCTTTGGTTTAGGCTTGATAATCTGCCACCCTTCTAAGGTTTCTTATCAGATTTCAAATTGAAGAACTACTTGGTGACAACTGCAGTGCCTTGAACCTGGAGCTTTCCCAAAGGAATTGGCTCTAAATTTACATTTCATGCTACATATAGAGTTACTTCTGTTTCTCTTGTGTAATAACTTGCCCTGACGCCAAGAGAGATGGCACATTAATAAGAGGCAGGAAAAGGGTGATAATGATTCAGAGGGGGCTTGGATCAGATCATTAGTAATGGTCTCTGTTCTGATTTATTTAATTCCCCCATCCCATTCATTCATGTTCTTTTCCTAGAAGTATGTAGATAATCAAAACCCCACACACAACTGCAACAACAAAACTACAGCTGAAACAATAATCATTTCAATTAAAAATTGAATATTTGTAGGTGATATGCTTAACAGTATTCACTTTAGTTTTTTCTAGTTTCACTGTACTTATCCAAGGTGATTCTATTCTGCTTTTGTGTTCAAATATAAAAATTCCATTGGAATTTATTTTCAGCCACTTTTTTTTCAAAGTAAGCAGGGAAAATGACTGCTGGTTCAGTGTGTGTTCCTCAGATCATACCACTACGAGTGCCTCAGCCTGGAAAAGCCAACCATGAAATTGATAACAATACACTTTTGGAAATGAAATCAGGTAAAAATCAAACATACTCGAAATTGTTTAAAATAACATTGCCATACTCTTTATGTTCATCTGGTTGTTGATTTACCTCTTTGCATGTTTTCTGTAATTAAGACCTTGAGAAGTTTGTAAAACTTCCAAAATTTGAAATAGTGTTACTTGTTGGTTTATAGAGTGGTTTATATTTAGATTGAAACTTAGCTTTGACCACCCTTTCATTTGTATAGGTACATAGTTACCACAATGCCTTGACTCACCTTAGCCAAGGTAAGATGTCCTGGTGCTTCTCCAGATATTTCCAGGTTGCTCATTATTTTGCTAGGATAATAAATTTGACATACTAACACAAGCTTTCCAGTCAGACAGGTTGGAGATTGAATTCTGGCTTTGGCAACTTCTGGTGATCTTTGGTACATTACTTAGTGTTTGTGAGTCTCAGTTTCCTCATTGTAAGCTAGTGATAATATCTACCATTCAAAGCCATAGTGAGGATTAAATGAGTTGATGTGAGGTATGCAGAGTCTACCATGTAGTAATGCTATGTCTCCCATTACCTTAAAAGGCAATTATTTTTTAAAATTCTCAAAGCAAAATACAAATTTAATATATTTGCCCATAACTCTAAGAAGTTTGATGATTATTGACAAATGATGATATGAATGATAGGGTATCCAAAATTTGCTAATATTTAAAATATTTAATAAATAAGAGGTTCTATAATTCAATAACAAAAAGAATAATAACCCAATAGAACAATGGACAAAGGATGTGAAAGTACATTTCATAGGAAAGGAAATATAAATGTCTTTTAAACATACAAGAATATACTTCTATGGATCCCTTCATCTGCTTGCTGAGTAGACCTTATTTACTCCATTGCATTTAATCACCAATCAATAGATTGTATATAATTTTTTATTTGTTAACTGTTTATGTTTTCTTCCTAAAATGGAAGCTCCATGAGAATAGGGACTTTGGTTCCTGGTGTATCCCCAGTGCCTAAAATAGCGTCTGGCACACAATAGGTACTTAGTAAATATTTGTTGAAGGAATGAATGAACCTTACTCAAAATGTAAGAAATGTGTGTTACAACTGCAGGATACTTTTTTCTTTTTTTAATCTAGGAGATTGGCAAAAATAAAAAAAATCGATAGCACACAATATTGGTGAGATTGAGGATAAACAGCCACTTTCATACATGCTGGTAGCAGTATAAATTGTTTTAGCATCTGTAGAGGGAAGTTTGACAATATTAACCAAAATTACAAATGCACATATATTTGACTCAACAGTATTAGTTCTACATATTTTATAGTTATACCTATAAAATGAACTCTTTACAAGGTTATTCATTACAATATTTGTAATGGCAAAGAAAAAAAAGAAACAGATAAAACATTAAATGTCCATCTGTAGGGGAATGGTCAAATTATGGTTTATCTATATGTAGAGAGAATACAATGCAACCATAACAAAGAATGAGGACTTTCTTAATATCCAAATACAGAACAAAATAAATGTGTAGAACAGGGTATTATATGCCACCATTTGTATAAAAAGACTGGGAGAAATAAGAATATGGACATATATACTTATATGGATATAAATATATTTGGAAAGATACTCAAGATACCATTGATTGCCTTTAGGCAGCTAATGTCAGGAGGAGGAGGGAGAGCTTTAATTATATATCATTTTTTGACTTTTTAGATCTTGATTCGTATGAATTTATTACCTTTACAGTTTTCCAAGTGTAGGAATGAGTCATTCACCAAGTCTAAATAAAATATAATAGAAGCATTTCTTAAGCAATGCTTGAAAAATGAAAAATTATCTTCTGCTTTCTAAATGGGTGTTCTAGTCTTAAAATAGAGCCCTACTCTATTTGTATCAGCACCCTACTGAAGATGCAGAATAGCATTGTGGATCAAGAGCATGGACTGTGGATCCAGCTTAGCAGAAGTCAAACCACAGCTCTGCTGTTATTTGACAAATTTATTAACCTCTCTAGGACTCACTTCATCTATAAAGTGGGTATAAAATATGATGAAATGAGCTTATTTGTGTAAGACACAGGGCCTGGCATAGAGACAGAACTCAATTATTGTTAGTTATTGTTATTCATTTCTATAATATATAAAAGAATCTCATTAAATAACTGACCCATAGGCATTATTTAAGGACTTGTTACTTTAGTGCTAATCACAATAATCCTGTTTTGGGTTTTTTAGATACCCCAGATGTCAACATATATTATACTCTGGATGGCAGCAAGCCTGAATTTCTAAAGAGAATTGGTTATAATGAAAATATAACATTTAAGTATACGAAGCCTATTACTCTGCCTGATGGAAAAATACAAGTTAAAGCTATTGCAGTCTCTAAGTAAGTTAAGAGCATGGTGATTAAAATAATTCATAATATAATGACATTATGTTTTAATTTCATTTATTTCTTCCTATGAGAATCAGTGTTAGACTAGAAGGATACTAAAGAAAAAGTTACTTTAATTTCAGTGTATATCTGTAACTTTTGTTTTTTGTCTTCTATTGAGGTATACTATTGAGATAACGTACACAAATCATAAGAGTACAGCTCAATGAGGTGCTATATATATTAATACTGTTTTTATTTTGAATACCACATTGGGATTTTGGGAACCTTTTCAGGATTGGGGACCTCTGAAAATATTCATCTGGCTGTGAAGAAAATTCTGTTTTTAATGGATGGTTCTTTTATTCTCTAGGACACAGGCTGTAGCTACCATGATCATTCTCTATTTTATTTTGTATTGACTTAATTGACCTTCAAAGCTATTGTCATTTCAATTTGTTGGACATTAGCTATTTTATTCCTTTCTTTGTCCTTTCTTGCCTACTCCATGACTTTTTGCCAATTTTCAAATATGGAAACACATCATAATTTGGAAAACGTCAACTGTTGTAGAGAAAAAACTCAAATGCTTTGGAAGTCTGTGAAAGGGGAATTGTTTTGTGCAGCAGGACAGGTTTGACCACATTTTTGAAACACTTTAAAGCCCTAAGCCAATACCTTGCTGGCCCAGACACATACTTTAAAAAAGATTCTCCGGGCTCCCCCACGTGGCTGAACTACTAAATGGCTTTTTGAAGAGAGTTATAAATTCTACACCAAAAATAATTGTTTTGACATTTGAAAATTTAAAAAAAAGAACATAATAAAAATTAAACAAAACAAGACAAACCCCTAATATACATTATCCTTTATTAAATATTGACATTTGTGGCTTTTTCCCACTTGCCAAACCACTTCTATCAAAACAAGTCATCTCAATTATCATTAAAAGTTAACAAGCTAAATAGAACTCTCATGCCTAATGCTGTAAAGGCCCTTTTAGAAATTGCAGGTAGCAGTAAAATGAAGTAGTAATATAATGGCAAATTATGTAGTTTGAAGGAATTAAAAAGGCTTCCAAAGAGTCTAAAAATAAGGTAATTCTTTATGCCTCTCACTATTTTGTTCTGTGTCCATTAAGTGTCTATTCTGAAAGCACTGTTAGTATTTCAGGTATGCTTAAGGAACATATTTATTAAAAAAATATTGAGTTTTCAACACGGAAAAATTAATGCTTGTGTATATTTGCAATAAAATTATTCTTTAAGGAAATTACATTGCTTCATTCAAGTCTATTTCTAGGTACTAAAGATAATTAGTTTCATGATAAAAAGACAATTTTATTTATTTTATTTCTTTTTAAAATTTTTATATTATTAAGTTTATTGGGGTAACATTGATTAATACAATTATATAATTTTCAGGTATACATTATAATTCGATATCTATGTTCTATTGTGTGTTTACCACCCAAAGTCCAGTTTCCTTCAGCTACCATGTATTTGATCCCCTTTACCCACTTCGCCCTCCTCCTATCCCCATATAT